GTTGTGATATGCAGCAACAAGAGGTCAAAGGTCTCCAACAACAGCTGGATCATTTGGGTGAATCACTCAGAAATGCTGAGGAGGAAGCTCAAACTCGTCAAACTTTGCTAAACCAGCAGGAGCAGGACAATGCTCATCAGAAGGAGCTTCTGCAGCAGCAACTCTCTGCAACTGAAGAGGAGGTACAGACCTTGAAGGTTGAGATCCAGACCAAAGAACAAGAGGTGAGTTTGTTAGAAAATCAAAGGTCAAAAGAAGTGGAACAACTACACCAGGAAGTAAAAGCTTTAGAGAAGCAGAATGAACGTCTTTGTTCCTCACTTAAAGAAGCTGAAGAGAGTTTGCTGTCTAAAGAAAACCTGTGTGCAGAGCAGCAGCTACAGAACACTAAGGACATGGAAGCCCTGCAGATGCAGATGGTAGCATCTGAGGAGGAGGTGAAGAGACTGAATGCAGAGATCAGTGATAAAGAGGAGCAGCTGGTTGAGCTGAAGACTGAAACATCTGCACAATCTGACTTACTACAACAGCAGACACAAGCTCTAAACATGAAGATTAACACCATTACCAATTCACTTGAGACTGCTCAGAACCAGTTAAAAGCCAAAGAGGAGCAGCTGGTTAAACTGGAACAAGAGTCCACCCTGCAGATTGAAGAATTAAGAAAACACTGCATGGTTCTTGAAGATGACATGAACCAGCTGAGGCAAGAAATCCAAACTAAAGATGGTGAAGTCAGTTTGTTGAAATCGAATCACTGCATTGAGGTTGAAGCATTACAGAATGAGATCCAGAGTCTGAAGGATCAGATTCAATGTCTGACTGACTCTCTGAAGACTGCAACAGATCAGGTGCAGACTAAAGAAAACCTGCTGGTCCAAAAAGAGACGGTGTATATTCAGGAGAGAGACTCTCTTCAAAATAAGGTGGCAACCTGTGAGGAGGAAATTAGAAAACTTACAGAAGAGATGCAGACTAAAGAACAAGAGTTCACCTCTCTGAAGGAAGAGAGCTCCAGATGTTGTGATATGCAGCAACAAGAGGTCAAAGGTCTCCAACAACAGCTGGATCATTTGGGTGAATCACTCAGAAATGCTGA